GGGCGGGCGGGTTGCAATTTGCAATTTAAAGGGACCAGTTTGGCGAAGGAACCGAGGAGAGTGGAGAAGGGAGGAGGCATTACTATTGGCTGGACTTTATAAATTCCGCCCTTAACTTTTTTTTTTCCTATTATCTAAGATTGCCATTGATTCTTTTTGATATAGATCTCCTCCCACTTGGGAAATTAGTCTTCTTTGCGAGCATTAGGATTGGCTGATTGCTAAAAAAATAATCCCTCTACTGGAGTGCTCCCCCTACAGGTTGATTTTGGACAGGTCAAATCCCTGAAGAAAATAAAGCTCTCTTCTGGATGTGGCTGTGGGACATTTATAAGTAAACTCTGTGCCTTTTAAAAACTCCTCTTCCTTGGCCACATCCATTAGCCAGTTGCAAACACACCCTGCCTTACTTTAAAATATGCTGCCTCCATGAACCGCCAAGGGTTGCTTATAGACATCACTGCTTTTGGCTGTTTACAAAGAGAACCACCCCTTTTTGGATTTGTCCCCACCTCTACGGAGAGCCATTGGCTCGGTACAAAGGGGCCCCGCCCCCCCTGCTCCCTCCCTCCGGGTTCCACCGAAGTGGGCAAAATCCCCGAGAAGCAGTGGTGTCCGCAGCCTCTCACTCGGAGCAGAGATGGGGAGTAAAGGTGGGCTTGCGGGGCGGGCTGGGGCGGGGGTTGAGGGATGGTGGAAAGGGATCCAGATTCGCTATCGCCCTCAAATCTGGGGGAATGTTTCCTGTTGGTCCCAGATTCCCCAGAGCTGCAGGCTGAGGCTGGGGAGTTTTGGGGGTGTCTAGGGAGAGTGTGGAGGGAGCGTGGGGTACCCTCTCCCCCAAGACAGGGCTTTGGAGCCTAAGAGCAGGAAGGCACCCTCCCCCATCTTCAGGCCCAGGCGGCGCTGTCACTCAGGAGCTGGATGGGCCAGCACAGCTGCAAGCCAGGCCCCCTCCCCCCCGCGTGCCTAAACTTAGCCCCCGCCTCAGACGACCCGGCCCCTCCCCCACCCACGGGCGCGGGCCTCGGGGTGCCTGCAGGGGAGGTCCCTGCGCGCCGGGTGGACGGGAGGCCTGCCCTAGTTAAAGGCAGATGGGAGGATGTGTACAGGGAAGGGGAGTCGGACTCTGAGAAGAACCTTTGGGGATGGGTCAGAGTTTGATTGGAGTGAGGGTGAGGGGATGGACAGGGTCTGGAAAGAAGTGGAAGGGTACTGGGCTCCTGGTTCAGGGCTCAAATGGGAGCGGATTATTGGGAGGGCTGATAAAGTTTATGTGGATGAGATGAAACATTGGGGTCTGGAGGTCATTGGTCAGGGCTCAGGTTGGGCTTGGGAGGTGAGTTTAGGGTCTTAGAAAGAGGTCAGAAATTTGGGTTAGGGCTTAGGAAGGAGGATAGTGTTGTTAATACATGTGGGACTTAGAAACTGTGTTGGTAGGGGTATCAAAGAGATATCACTTTACACCTATCCGGTTGCCCAAAAAACAAAAACAAAAACAAAAACAAAACAGTAACGCCCACTGCTGGGCAGGATGCTAGAGAAAGATCACTATCACTTTGCTCATGGGAATAAGAATTGTTACAGTCTTGCTAGTAAGCAATCTGAGAATATGTATGATATCCACCCAGCCATTCCACCCCTGGGATTCTATCTCAGAAATAGATAAGAATATCTGTAGAAGGCTGGTGCTTACAGTACTGTTGGCGGAAGGAAGATAGGAAACAAAGTGAATGGCCCAGCAATGGATACATGATTGAATAAAATGAATGGCAGTGCAGCAACACTAGAGTACTGGGGCACTCTTAAAAAGAATGGATTAAGGGCTATTCCAGTTGACTAGTAGGGAATTCTAGGGGGGAAGGTAGAGTGAGATATGTGTGATGCAGAAAAGTGTATCTATGATTCCATTTTTCATAAATAATGACCAAGAATTGTGGCCACACAAGATAAAGAAACTTGCTAGATGGTTAACTTGGGTTTTCCCAGAGGGGAAGAGGGGAGGCAAGAAGACATTAAAACTTTGGAAATTGGGTCAAGGCTGACGCAGGTGTGTCAAGGGTTCATGGTTCAGCCCTGAGACAGGAAATGGGAGGTCAAGAGGTCAGCCAGGTCAGGTCCAAACCCCAGCCTGATTGCTCCCCTCCTCCACAGTGGCGGACCTGCTGTACTGGAAGGACACGAAGACATCAGGAGTGGTCTTCACAGGTCTCATGATCTCCCTGCTGTGCCTCCTGCACTTTAGCATCGTGTCCGTGGCCGCCCATGTGGCCCTGTTGCTGCTCTGTGGCACCATCTCTCTCAGGGTTTACCGAAAAGTGCTGCAGGCCGTGCACCGGGGGGACGGTGCCAACCCCTTCCAGTGAGAACCCCCAGCCCCTAACCTTGACTCTGTCCAGACCCCACTACTGACCCTAAGTCATGACCCCTGACCTCAGATCAGGCACCAACTTCTCAACCTGGCCCAGACCCATTCATCTTTCTGACTCCAACCTAACCCTGAGCCTGACTTTAAACCATGTTCTGACCCTGCACTTGCAGCCCTAACCTCTGATCCTAACCTCTTATCCTTAATCCTTGATCCCACCTCCTGACCCTAACCTTGACCTTAGCCCTCTACACCTGATCTTCTCCCCAACCCTTATTTCTTGCCCTTGTCCAAGCCACACCTCTCAGCCTGGGCTTCACCCACCCATTGAGTCACCTCACACCCCTCTGTCCTCTCAGGGCCTATCTGGATGTTGACCTGACCCTGACTCGGGAGCAGACGGAACGTTTGTCCCGGCAGATTGCCTCCCAAGTGGTCTCTGCAGCCACCCAGCTGCGGCATTTCTTCCTGGTAGAAGACCTCGTGGACTCCCTCAAGGTGCTCCAAAGCCCCCATTCTCTCCTGGGTTCCCAACATTCACCTTCCTGCCCCTGGGGGGTAAGAGGGCCATTTTTGTGTAAGTTCACAGTCTGGGGAGTGCCTTATAGGCTCTGCTGACCCTGACCCTCACCCCCAGCTGGCCCTTCTCTTCTACATCTTGACCTTCGTGGGTGCCGTCTTCAATGGTTTGACTCTCCTCATTCTGGGTGAGCTGGGAAGGTGGTAGGGGGCTGGGTAAGGAGGTGGGTCCTTGGGATGATGGGGGACAGGGCTCTAGATGGAATTGTTAATCTCTTGGGAGAATCCTGACCCCTCACCTCTGTTCCCACAGGAGTGATTGGCTTATTCACCATCCCCCTGATGTACCGGCAGCACCAGGTGAGTGTGACAGGCCCTCAATTGGTAGTATTGCAGCCAAATATGGGTGATCTGGCTGCCCCTCCCTCTACAGCCAGGGTTCCACTGACAGGTGTCCCAACCAGAGACGAAAGGACCAACTAGTGTTTCCACCCCTGGAAGGATCACATATGTGATCACTGACATATGTCCCAGCCAGGCACAGGTGGTCTGGCTGCTGCCCCTCCATGGAGCTAGAATCTAGAATATGTTTCCACTGCTAGAGGCAGGCATTTTGGTTGCTGTTCCCTAACAGAGCCAGGGTCCGACTGACGTGCCCCAACCCAAGGCAGGTGGACTAACCAGTGCTCCTCCCTGACAATGCATCCGAGGAGCAGCTGACATGTCCTAGCTACAGAAAGTCAGTCTGCCTGATGTCTTTTGTCCCTGACAGCCTCAAGCGGAACAACAATCATCCTAGCCAGAAACAGGCAGACAGATGAACACCTCCAGTTGCAGACAGACAGACAAACTGATGCCATCTATCCTTACACATAGTCTGGGTCTGATGCACACCATCCAGCCAACACAGGTGGACTGACTGATGCTCTCACTCCCTGAAACTGCCAGGGGCTGACAACTCAGTCAGAATTGGGCGGGTGACCGTCAGCCCAGAATGCCGACAACCAAGGCTACTGACATATATTCTATCTAGAGACAGACAGATGGACTGATGGTCCCTTATCTAGCACAGCTGAGAGCCCAATAATACACGTCCTGCCAGATAGTCCTAACTCCTTCACATGCTGGACTCGAGTCCTCCAAGTCAACTCACACTATGAATTAAGCTAGTATTTAAATCAATGACAGCCAGCACCGATGCCCTCTACTTTCGCCCTCCCCCGAAACACACACACACTCACACAGCTCACTCAAAGATTAAAGTCATGCCCAGGAAACAGACTCTGTCAAATTCTTGTGTGTCTACCTGAGTCACTCCCCACACAGAGTGTGGCCCTACTGACTGACACTTCAACTTGAACTTCTGTCTTCCAGGGTATTTTATCAGGTTTAAAGTTGAAAGTGGAGTGGTGGGCCACTCCCCCCACCTCCTGATTTGGATGTGAGGGAGAAAGCAGTCTCCTGAATGAATTAGGAAGAGGGACCCCTCTAACTTCCCCTTTGACCCTTTCTTGGTCTCCCCAGGCCCAGATCGACCAGTATGTGGGATTGGTGACCAATCAGTTGAGCCACATCAAAGCTAAGTAAGGGCATGGAGTGGAGGTGGGTGAGATGGGAGGTGTGTGGGGGGGACTTGGGAACCCCCCATTTCCTGTCCCTAAATCTCCTGGGGCTGAATGCCCCCTTCTCAAAGAAGGGTGGCAGACAATTCCAACGCAGGCCATTAGGCGAAGAGCGGGGCTCGCTTTGGGGACTCGGCTAGTTCCCCCACCCAGCTTTCCCCCTAGTTCTCAGATACCTCCCTCCCCAGCGTCTTGCCCCACCTGACTCTACCTGTTTCTCCCTCAGGATCCGAGCAAAGATCCCAGGGACCGGAGCCCTTGCCTCGGCAGCAGCCGCAGTCTCCGGATCCAAAGCCAAAGCCGAATGATAGGGTGTCTCTGCCTGCGGGACGCCTGCCCTCACCCCCTGAAGCCCTCTGCTCCCCTCAATCTCCCTTTCATCCCACCCTCGTCCCTCCTCAGCCCCAGCCATTTCCGGGTGGGTGTCTGGATCACTCACACCAGGGAGTTAGCGCAAATTGCCTGAGCGGCCAGGACTACATTTCCCAAGAGGCTCTGCTCTAGGAGTCCGGGAAAAGCGAGGCACCTTGGCCGGGGTCCTGCTGGGACTTGTAGTTGCCTAGCTAGGGCACCCGCCCTGCACTTACGTGAACTCGCCGCTGGAGGCGCCGTGAGGGGTTGGTGTCTTCTGGATGCTACTGGGCCCGACGCCGGGGGCTTTGCATGGGGCCCAGCGGAGGCCTGAGCTTGGATTTACACTGTAATAAAGACTCCTGTGGAAAACCCAAAGCTTCCTGTTCTTCAAGCCCCCTTCAGCTTTCACCTTCCTTCACTAAAACTACTTAAGCAAAACTCAAAGAGGAACCTTCCCCATCTCTGCAGAAGAAGCCTCCTCGAAAATCTGTTTAGATTATGAAATGATTGAAGGGAGGACACTGAGAGATTGCCCATCCCAGGGCTAACCAGCCCTCGGCCGCCGCTTTCAATACCTGTGCTCTAGTCAATCCCCACACTGCCTGCTGCGCAGCCGTCTCATCTGAGATCCAGACACGTGTCCAGCTGCCCTGCAAACATATCTAACCCCCTAACTTGTTCTACCTGATTTCCATCTCAGGGATGTCCTCTCTGCCCACATTGTCACCAGGCCCGAGACCCAGATTTGTCCCTGAATTTCTATTCCCTTGCCCTTCGCATCTAATCAGTCACGAAGCCATGTCTATTCTCTCTCCCAAACTTCTCTCATGCACCCACTTCTTTCCATTCCAATTGCCTTGGGACAGAATGCCAGGCTTCATGGCCTCTCTGGGCCTCAGGTTCCAAAACTGTAATCTGAGGGAGGAAGAAAAAGGACACTAAAGTCTAGAGGTTCACAGACCTGAATTTTAATCCCAGCTTAACTACCTCCTGGCTGTGTGACCTTGAGCAAGTGACTTCATCTCTGGAAGCCTTGGTTTCTTCAAGTGAAAAAGTGTCATCATAACCGTGTCTTGTCTCAGGGCCTGGCATATAATAAGTGTCCATTAAACAGAAGCTGCTATTGTTATCTATGACATGCTTTCCCAAACCTCAGTCCTTCCCTCACAACATTCCTGATCATTACGTCACCTGTTCTGCTATTTACCTAATATTTTTCTTTAAATTGGTTTATTAAAAAAATAGCCCTGACTGGGTGGCTAAGTTGGTTAGAGTCATCCTATACACTGAAAGATTGCAGATTGATTCCCAGTCAGGACACATACCTGGGTTATGGGTCCAATCCCCACTGGGGGTGGGTACGGGAAGCAATCGATTAATGTTTCTTTCTCTCTCTTTCTCCCTTCCTCTCTCTCATCAACAAACAGGTCCTAGGGGGAGGATTAAAAACAAAAGCACAAAACCAAATGTCCTTTTAAAGGAAATGTTACTTTATCACCAAGGAAGTCAGTGTCACTTTGCAGAAATAGAAGATAACAGTAACAATAAACAAAGTTTTTAACATTTAAAATGTTTGCTAGTGCATCATCTAAAATCATCTCACTTGCCTCTAGCAACACATGTTGCATTTTAGGAGACAGATGATGTTACAGGAGCAGTAGTTATACAGGGGTTGCCTAGCTATGACTATCTAACTAAAAGAAAGGGGCATAGGGGGGCTTTTCTTGAATCTGGACTTGCTAAGCAGAGACAATGTTTTAAATTCCCAAATTTAAAAAATTAACAGCAAATTTTCATAAAGATGCTTTTATTCACATTTTCCATAAGACAAAGTGTTAATTTGTCCATATCAAAGAATGGAGGAAGAAGGAATGGTTGAAATTATGGGTCCAGGAACAGCAAAGTCCCCAAGCCCATCCTGGCCACCCTGAAGACAAGAAATAGGTTGGACATTGAAATAGCCTTTACTGAGTGCCTCCTAGTTGTTTGATCCACCCTGGGTCATACTTTTATATCTACCTTCTCATTACCATTCCTCCAGTGAAATCAGTTGTACTAGTCTTGTTTTCCAGATGGAGAAAATGAGAAGGATAGTAATAATAACAGCCTCTCATTCATCCCACAAGTATTTACTGAGCATCTGCTATGTGCTCAAGGACTCTTTAGGTACCAGGGACACAGAAATGAACCAAAACAAAGTCTACAGTTTCATGGAACGAATATTCTACCAGGACCAGACAGACAGTAAGAAATAGACATAGAATATGGCAGGGTGATGGAGAAGAGGCCAGCAGGGTAAGGGGATAGAGCGACAGGATGTGCTATTTTAAACTGAATGGTCAGGGGGGTCTCATTAAGTGGTGATATTGGAGCAGAGGCCAGAGTGAAGGGAGGCAGTGAGTCGTGTGAGCATGTGGAGGAAAGGAGATTCAGGCAGGGGGATCAGCAAACTCAATGGCCCTGAGAAGGTGTGTGTAGAAGATCTTTATGCCAGAATTCAAGTTTATGAAGAGAGAGGACTAGATGGGGTGAGAGGAGTGAAAGGTGCTAGATTATAGGGATTTATTTGTAAGGCCGTGGTGAGAACTTTGACTTTTACTCTGAGATGGGAGCCATGGGAATGTTTCATGTTGGGGAATGATATTGTTGTCAAAGGATCATTGCTTTTGGTTATAAAAGGATGACCTTTTTAGTAATAATAATTATGCGGGCACAGGTTCCGTTTCCCCAGGTGGGCGGGCTGCGTGGAGTAGAGTACGGTGCTCTTCGTTTCTAAGCCTCAGTCTCCCCGGCCATAAAATGCAGGTACAGGAATTGATGATTTCTAGTGGCTAAGCTGAATGGGGACAGAGTTTCTGTCATCCCCAGCACCTAGGACAGTGCCTGGGACTCAGTAGGCGGTCAATAAATACTGTATTTGAATTAACATAGGCCTTCGTAAGTCGCTGAAGTTCTAAAAAAGAACAGCAGGTGTCGCACCAGCCCTACAGCCGCCAGCCGGAGACTTCCGGGCTTGGCTAAATGAGACTCTAGGAGGAACCCAACTCACTTGAATTCGGATTTTTCAGGGAAGGGGCTTCCGAAGGCCAAATTATGAGTCTCTTCTCTTGAAAAACGGATTTCTCACTTGGAAACAGAGGTTCTGGCCCTTTAACAACTACAGGATAGTGGGCCAGGGACCTTTGGAACCGTTACCCAGAATGCGCGGCGCTATGCAAATAAGCGTTTTCCAAAACGAAGATGATTCGTACCATGTGAAACAAAGATAATATTTGGAAGGCTATCTGCCACAGTAAGTAAATAGGAAAATCTTGTAAATATTGATGTAAACAATCTTATAACCTTCCAGACCACACAACCATAACTGAAAGAAGATAATCCTTGTGTCCTTTATATAGCTGGGTGGGTGGACGGCAGAGTCGCCCGGATGATCCTCAGTGGTCTGGGGTGCAGGCTTCAAACCTGTAGCTGTCTAGCGACAGAGTGGTTCAATTCCACCTTTCGGGCGGCCCCTTTCCCTTTTTCTTTCTCCTCCAAAGTGGATTTAAAGGTGCGGGACGACGCCAGCGCCTCGAGAGGTCGCTGCTGGCCTCTGCATCACGATTTACCCTAAGCCGCGATGGCCTCTTCCTGTGGTTAAGTCTTTTCCGCAAATGTCAAAGACAACTGCAAAAGATGAAGAGAAACTCGCCTATCCTGTTAGCTGTAGGATGTTTAATTTGAGAATTACATGGATTTCTCCCTTTCACTTACCCACTCAGTCACTTGTGCTCACGCGTGCACTTTATTAACCAGTCAAACATGTATCCATTTGTTTGTTAATTCACTCACCCATTCAACAGGGATCTGCTCCATGCCCGGTGCTGGGGACCCAATGGTGACGATGACCTCGTGGTACTCCCAGTCCAGTGGAGGAGATAATCATTAAGCAATCATTAATTATACATTTGATTAACAATTAGAAAGGTGATGACTACTGGGAAAGAAAGTACAAAGTATATGCGACTAATAAGGAGACCCGAGTTTAGGGGGGGTTTCAGACATGAGCAGATACCTGAAGTATGAGCGGGGATTAGCCAGCAGCAGGGGGTGATAAGAGAGTCCCGGTGGGAGCCCAGGTGGCCCCAATAATGGCGATGGGGCTGTGATAATTGCACCTTCACTCTGCGCTCAGCGCTGTCATACACGAGCTCACTGACTCCTCACTACAGGCCCATTAAGCAGCTAAAGAAACAGGTTCAGAGAGATGAAGTTTCTTGTCCAAGGTCACCCAGCTTTGGTAGGCCTCCAGTCCCAGGCTCTCAGACCCCTGGTCCATGCTATTTACCACTTCTCTATGCTGTCTTTCCCAAGCCAGCTACTCTCCAAGTCCTGTTTGTTCTACTTCCTAAATTACTTTTAGATCCTTCACCTCCCCTCTCTCTGTCACAGCCCTGGCCCTGTTCCAAGATCCCCTCACACCAGTGTCCCCACCCTAGCAATCTCCCTGGTCTCCTGCCCCAGTCTTGCCCCTTTCTCTCCCACCTACCCTCAACCTGAAAGGCTAGAGGAGTCTTCCTAAAGCACAAACCTGTCCTTGCTTTTCTTGTGCCCAAATCTGTCATGGCTCCCCAGTGCCCTCAAAAAAAGATCTAAATCTTTTCTGGAATTGATGTCTGCAGAATGTGCTCCCTGCTAACCTCTTTCTCTGCACCTCTTGTCCCAGCCACGTGAATCTCTAGCTTTCTCAAAGAATCAAGCCTCGCTCTACCAACAGTTCTTTGCACTCACTGTTTCATCAGCCTCCGTCTTTTTCTATTCCCTCTTATATCCCCTATTTATCCTCTAGGACTCAGCTTAGCTGTCCCCTTCTCCAAGTCTTTCTTCACTCCCAGGCCAGGTTAGACACCCCCATTGGGCTCCCCCAGCTCCATGGACTCTCCCAATCCTGTTCACTTTGGCTTATCCCTGACTGTGTCCCGCACTGGATTGTAAACTCTAGGAAGGGATAGCCTGGACCTGTCTCAGTCCCTGCAGTGTCTCCAACACCGCCCAGCACAGGGCTGGGTACACAGTAGGTCCTTAGCAAGTTTTAAAAAAATATCTAATAAATTAAGTGATTCCACCTGACAAGTTCCATGTTTGTTCATTTAAGTTCTTAGGCATCAAAATGACCTCTGCAACATCCCTTCCATTCCCCAGAGGACTTGCTGCTATGCAAATAAGTGAGGGCTTGGGTTTGTTTTTTTAACCCTCACCTGAGGATATTTTTTTCCATTGCTTTTCAGAGAGTGAGTGGAAGGGAGAGAGTGAGAGAGACACACTGATTGGTTGCCTCTTCCACGCACCATGACTGGGGCCCGGATCGACCTTGCAACTCAGGTAGGTAGGTA